ACACTTAGAGACAGACAACCAAGCACACTCACATTCACACCTACGGACAATTTACAATCACCAATTAACCTCAGCATGTTTCTGGACTGTGGGAGTAGAGTCTGTAATCATCACTACGGTCACTCTGAACCTAGATTTAGACGAGTGCAGCTTTTCTTCCATTTCTTTATGTTGGATTTATCTTTAGTCTAAGCGATGTTCCTGGAAATGTTCTTCTATCCAACCTCTCCCTCTTGCTTTCCAACAACCTTTTCACAGAGTTTGTTTTGAGGTGTTCTTCGTGGTGACGTCACGTCCAGGAGAACTGATTCCAGACCAGTTCTTCACATACGAGCGTCTTCACAATCAGACTCTTTCATTGGACTAAAATGTGATTCTAGCACCAGGTCATGTTTCATATTTTAATTAAATGACAGTTTGTGGGAATCTGTTTTCACTTTGACATGAAAGAGTCTTTTTGGGGTAAGTTAGTGTCAAAAAGCCAAAATATCTTAAAGCCACTGTAGCATCAGCAGCAGACTGTGTGTTTAATTAAATCTCTGTTTGTGATCCTGATGAGTCCCTGATCTGAGTCCAGCGTTCTGAGGAAGGCTGACGAGGGCTGGAAGCTTCAGACGAACACTCTGGTCGGTTTGAAACTTTGAGCAAATAAATCTGAAAGTTTTTTTATTATTATTTATGTCAGAAAATAAAACAAAGAGGAGAGAAAGCAGACGAGAGCTGTGGCGTCGTTTTAAAAGCATTTTAATGGCTTTTTGCACGTATGTAACAGAGATGGGGAGAAGAAGTCTACGGGTGCAGATCCAACTAGCAGTGACCCCCGGTCCACGTCACACCGAAGCCCCGGCCCCGCCCGCCCANAATACTATAATATCTATTATTATCATTATAACCATGTATTTATCTTTAGCTCTGGTTTGAAGTTGCAGCCTTTTATTCTCGCAGACTCACTGAAACCTTTCACCATAAATGTAAATATGACCAACGTGGTGTCTATTCTGGGTTTTATTGTGAAGGTCCAGCCTCCACACCTCTGCTCTTATTGCGCTGCTTTGTTGCGCACTTGGCGCAGCTCGGAGTCAGGAGGTAACCACGGAGGAGAGAAAACACCCCGGCTCCTCTGGAGAGCCGCCGCAGTGCACTGTGGGACTCTGTGTTCTTTGGGCTGGATTAATCCTTCACATGTCGGAGATGAATAAAGAACTACAAATCCCAGCAGCAGCAGCAGGAAGCAGGAAGTAGCTGTCCGCGGTGCTGAAGGGACGAGCTGAGCAAAATAAAGTCACAGGTGGAGGAAATGTTTAGAAAAAAGTCCCTGATCAACCAAACTTCAAACTAAAACCACAAACAAAGAAAAGCAAGATATTACAAAATAAAATAAAATGAAATAAAATAAAATAAAACGAAACAAAAAAGAATAAAATCAGCACAGAAACAAACACAAGTATTAAAATAAAAGCAAAACATATTATTTTTAAAAGTAGAATGTAGATGAAAAACATGGAAGTTTCTTGAACTCTAAAATCTGTTTAATCTGAAATAAAAGGTTAAAATAAAGATCTTCAGCAGTTTACTGGGTTTAACTTTAGACTGAAAACATGAAAGCACACGTTGAGTTTCTGCTCTGCATCTTAAACACGCTTACAAGAACTGTCATCAGAAGTAAAAACATAAAAACTGAGCAACGTCCATCAAAGTTTACTCACATCGCCTGGTTTTGTCAAAACATCTTTAAATTTCTGTGGAGACAAAAGAAGGACGATCAGTAAGTCTTTAACTGTCAGAACCAAAAATCATCAAATATTTACATATAAAAATCAGAAACTGCACATTTTGCTTCTGTCATCAGGTCAGTAAAGAAGAAAAAATAATGACGTCCTACGTCTTATTTATGAAACCTGTAGTTTGGGTTTACAGGCCATAAAGTGTCAGAAACTTCTGATGTTAAATTCAAAATGACTTAAATCACAGATTTAAACTTCATAAACTGATGAGTTCAGAGTCTCTGACCTCTGTACCTGGTTGTTCCTCCAGGTGGCGCCTCTAACTGGTTCATATCGTAGCCACCAGAGGAGGTTTGTGGGCTCGTAAACGGGCACCACGATGACGTCTTCTGTGACGTTTAAGGACCTCTGAGGAGCTGATGTGATGGAGACACGCTGGGATTGTGTTTGTTAATTAAACCAGTTAATTAGCATCAAACAACGAGCTGCTTGTGTTCTGGAATAAACACATTACTGATGCTGCATTTACACAGACAAATACTCAAATATGAAGTATCTGAGTGGCAGCTTACATGAACAAAGGAACAATTAGTTTAAACTGATTGGCTTTAATCCCAGTGATTGAGACTGGATCAGAACCTCTGTGTTTTATAATGAAAAATGTAAGAAGCTCGTTATCTCAGAAGATGTGAGTGAAGTGAGGCGAGGCAAGAATCGATATCTTCTAAGAGCCAGGAAGCATCAAAGAGCATGAAGAGACCTGAACAGAGGCAGTGAGAGGAGACTAAAGGGCTCAACTAACCTGGTTAGTAGGTTCGTTAGTTCACCTGCAGTCAGACGTCACACCTGTTTATGAAGGATGGATTCAGAGTCAGACTGAGTTTCACAGTAAAAGCTCAGACTCTGGTTGTGTAACGGCCACAAACAATGAATCCAGTAAGAAGTGATGCTTTGTGAATAAAATCTGACCTTCATGTTTGTGTTTCAGGTTTTCTGCTCGTGTTGCGCCATCTGGTGGCCGAAATGTAAAAACAGCAGCTTCAGAATCAGAACCGAGCTCGGTTCTTTTCTCTCACTTTAATCAACATATGGTCGATTTAAAACTGGATTTTGTGTGTTTTTTATCATGTTTTCTATTTTTATCGTTCAGTTAATTTAAAAGTGTCGACGCACGAGGATTCAGAGGAAGTAGTTTGTGCTGTTATTGTTTTATTTGTTTACAGGTGTGTCTTATTTTGAAGGCGTCCAAACAGCTTTTCCTTCTGTCACAGTTTCCATTTACTGCCTCTTAAAGTCACTTTTCGGCTCCAAATAGAGATGAAAATGTGTCTTCAGGGTTAATCTGCATCATTTTATCGTTTCTCTGGATTATTCTGTGGATTTATTGTATTTCTGTGGATTTATTGTATTTCTATGGTGTCCAAACTGGAACGTCTCATTTAAGACAATAAAATGACTGAACTACTGACCTCCACTCTGCAGCTTTATGATGTCCTCAGTGACCGACCAGCTGATGTAGGGAACTAACTGGATGACTGATTCATTACTGGAGTTATTTTTAAAGCAAAAACAATGAAAACATCATCATGAGGTTGATGTTCAGGGAATCTGTCACCGTTTAAACTATTCAGAGGATCTAACCTTTTATTTTTCTACTATTTCTAAATGTTAAAAGCTGTATTGAGCCGTTTTATTCTATGATTTATCTCCTGAAGCTGCTCATCTAGAACTTCAAGCTGCCATTGATCCATTATTTATTGATCTGTTTCAATCATTTGTTCATTTTCAGGCTCGTCTAGAGGATGAAGCTCCGCTTCCATAAAACACCGTCAGCTCTGCTCCTAGAAAGTTGTTTTAAAGAACCGTAAAGCAGATCTGTGCTTATTGTGACGTCGGTGTTGTTGACGTGTTGACTGTCTGGTGAGCAGGACGTCTGTCTGGTACCAGTACCAGACTGTCTGGTACCAGTCTGGTACCAGTCTGTTCAACAGACCTCAGTGAATAAATTTAATTTAAATAAAATAAATCTTTTCATGTCTACTATCTTTAGTTTTAACGTGTTCTTTACCTTCAGCTGTTTTCATGACATTCAGGTGTTTCCACACAGGATTCTGAACAGTTATGAATCTATAAATCTATTTATTGTCAACTTGGTGTTATTTTAAGTGTATTGTGGTTTTGTTTAGTTGAACTAAGGAGGCTGGTGGAGGATGAACAGAACATCATGAACCAACTTTTACATTAATGCATGACTGAAAATAACAATAATCTGATAAAGAATATAATCATCTAAAAGTCACAGAGGAAGTTTTTATACATGTTTAATGATTCAAGCACATGTTCTGAATTATACTCATATACGTTTATTTAAGATTTGAAGCACACAATTTTTACTTTCTTTTGTCTATTGTGTTGTATGTTTGATTTTTAAACTAATTTTATTGTGTTTTGTTTTTGTGTTTTTCTGTCTTATTGAGTTTCTGTTGGGCTTCATTTGGTTCAAGTCCTGATGCTGTAAATGTGCTTCATTAATACATTTAACTCAACTAAAGGATCCGAATACTTCATGTACGAAATAGTTTGTCCATCCATCATCTCTACACCTTAATCCTCACCAGGGTCATGGGGGGCGGAGTCTATCCCAGCTGACTCAGGGTGAAGGCAGGTTCACCTGGACAGGTAACCAGTCTATCACAGGGCTACACTTAGAGACAGACAACCAAGCACACTCACATTCACACCTACGGACAATTTACAATCACCAATTAACCTCAGCATGTTTCTGGACTGTGGGAGTAAAGTCTGTAATCATCACTACAGTCACTCTGAACATAGATTTAAACGAGTGCAGCTTTTCTTCCATTTCTTTATGTTGGATTTATCTTTAGTCTAAGCGATATTCCTGGAAATGTTCTTCTATCCAACCCCTCCCTTGTGCTTTCCAACAACCTTTTCACAGAGTGTGTTTTGAGGTGTTCTTTGTGGTGACGTCACGTCCAGGAGAACTGATCCCAGACCAGTTCTTCACATACAAGCGTCTTTACAATCACTTGAGACTCTTTCATTGGACTAAAATGTGATTCTAGCACCAGGTCATGTTTCATATTTTAATTAAAGACAGTTTGTGGGAATCTGTTTTCACTTTGACATGAAAGAGTCTTTTTGGGGTAAGTTAGTGTCAAAAAGCCAAATTCCCTTAAAGCCACTTTAGCATCAGCAGCAGACTGTGTGTTTAATTAAATCTCTGTTTGTGATCCTGATGAGTCCCTGATCTGAGTCCAGCTTTCTGAGGAAGGCTGACGAGGGCTGGAAGCTTCAGACGAACACTCTGGTCGGTTTGAAGCTTTGAGCAAATAAATCTGAAAGTTTTTTTATTAGTTATGTCACAAAATAAAACAAAGAGGAGAGAAAGCAGACGAGAGCTGTGGCGTCGTTTTAAAAGCATTTTAATGGCTTTTTGCACGTATGTAACAGAGATGGGGAGAAGAAGTCTACGGGTGCAGATCCAACTAGCAGTGACCCCCGGTCCACGTCACACCGAAGCCCCGGCCCCGCCCGCCCACCCCTCATCGTGGCATTATCGATTGTGCAATATGAAGAAATATCTCGTTACTATGGTTACAGTGACAGAGGAATGCACACTATATTTATCAAATCGCCAGAGAATGTAGCACAAAGAAAAACAACAAAAACAAACAAAAAAACAACAGAACAGGAACCGTTTCAGGACCAACCACCACCCGTCTCACCCCACCACCACCACCGCCACCCAGCCGTGGTAAAACAAACGCACCCACCTCGGACACCTTCGGGCTCATTTCTGCTGTTTTACATCCGCTCTGCTTGAAACCTACGGAAGTCCATCAGCGACAAAATTACACCACAGATCCAACCAAACAGGACTGAAGGTTTGTGAGTCGGTTTAAAGTGAACTCACCTTTTTCTGACGCCTGTTTCCGGATACGAGTGAAAATTTGGTTCTGAAATTCGTTAGTGGTTAACGCCGCCTGGACGAATTTAGAGCTTCAACAAGTGATGAGAAGGCAAAAAATCACCAGTTAGGTTAAAACTGTTCAAACTGGAACCAGCGACGCCTCCGTGCTCTGAAAAGTAATCGTCTTTTTTTGTGTGTGAATTTAGTCACTAAAGAGCTTCCGTAGGTTAAAAGCAGCTCCACAGGTTTCACTGCAAAGGTCTGAAGTCTGAACGAAACAAAACTGTGCTGAAGCCAACAAGCAAGCGACCATTATTCTGCAACACTTCCAGTAAATGCTTTTTAGAACCAGCTTGTAACAGCAACGCTTAAAAGTAATTTAGATTTCTTTATAGTACATCTACGTCTCCTTAGTCGTCGCACTACATGAACCTTAGCTTAACCGTGGGAATGGAGGAGAAACATGTTCCAGAAGTAACTACAAAATAAACCTTACTGGATGCTTTAAAGGTCGAATCGACAAACATTCTGTCTGGTCTGCGGTTAGTTACTGGAGCTGCGTCGACTCCTTCACTCTGGGTTTGTTAACGAAAGTCAAATGAAGCTTATTACGGTCGGTATTAGTAGTACTAATAATCATAGGAGGTGAAATTAAACACAGGTTTATTATTATCAGTTTGTTATACACAAGTTATACATACAGTTCAAAGCACCGCAGGGTAAACGCTCCCAATCACAGCCACCGCTTCCAGGAGTTAGACAGCACCGGGGCTCGCTCCGACCCAACAACAGCAGAATTATTCAGTGCACTAGATGCTGTTCCTCTGGGCGTTTGTCTACGGCGTCATCGGAGAGTTTTTACCCCGCCGCGGTCTCAGTTTTCCCCACGACAGAGGGATACACGTCATCTTGCAAAGACAAGGCCTCGCAAAGAAACTGAGGATGGACCCTAAACAGGAAGTAACTACAACGAAAAGAAACCGAGACGAGCGGAAAACACGACCCACAGAAGGCAGTAAAAGAGGCGGGAGGAGGAAGCAGAGAAGAAAAAGAAAACAGCAGGAGATAGAAAACACAAATATAATCATAATAATCAGAATAATAATGAAGAACTGGGTTTCTGGGAACTCCTCTACGTCGTGTTGTTGTTGTTGTTCAGCGGCAAACTCTGGATGTTTGTAGCGACAGCAGCTGCCTGAAGCGTTTGCAGACCCCCCCCCCCCACATTTTCCTTGAATATGACCTTTTTTTGTTTTTTTTTCAAAATTCCTGCTTCTTATCTTACAAAAACTGAGCAGAGGATACAGGTGGTGTGTTGTTGTAGCTGAACTGTAGCTCTGAGCCGACCGGACGGTTGATAGGCACAGAGTGGAGAGTTTTGGCTCGGAGCTTGCATGCTGGAGTCACGCCTTGAGAGGAAGAGGAGGAGGAAGAGGAGGAAGAGGAGGAAGAAAGAAGAAGAAGAAGAAGAAGAGGCGGCTGCTCGGGTTCGATCTGCAGCAGCTGAAGTGACTGATGGCTAAATGTTAAACTGATTATCTCATAGAATTACGCTGTTATTACATCATCCTGTTAATTTACATTCTGATTCTATTGATTAGCATCAGCTGCTGCGATCAATAACCAGCGATCGATCGACCCCGAGCGGCCGCAGGGGGACGAGGAGGAGGAGGAGGAGGAGGAGGGATGAAGGAGGAGGAGCGTCTATTTCTTCTTGCTGAACAGACTGAAGCGCTTCTCCTTGTCTTTCTCCCGCTTGCCCGGGCTGGACTCGGCGGTTGCCGTGGCGACGGAGGCGGGCAGCGTCTGAGCGCGTGCGGCGGGGGCGGGCGTGCTGTGGCTGCTGGGCGTCACCTCCGACTTGTCGCCCGACACGGCGGCCGAGATGGCCGAGATCCACGCGTTCATCTCCTCCTGCGGGACCGAGAGGCGGAGTTAGCGGAGGAACGGCAGCACAGGAACGTTCTGGAGACGTTCTGGAGACGTTCATGTGTTGCCGGTTGAACATGAACGTTCAGAAGACGTTCTTTCACAAACATAACGTCCAGAAGAGGATCAGAGCAACTTAAACACTTTGTTCTCAGGATTCTGACTTTGACCCTTTAAATCCTGAAACCTGCTGCTCTGAAAGAGAAAATAAACTTTTCTAGAAATCATTTATCAGAGCAGGAAACTGTAAAAGCAGAAGAAATAGTCAGATTGTCAACTTTCCGACAGTCCTTGAACTACTCATGAGTGACATTCGGTTCTGTGGGATTATCGTCCAAATCCACTTCATTCTGCTCTTCTCAGTAAAACTGGGACGTCGTGACTGATTCAGATGTGACCAACAGTCACACGACAAACAGTCTGGTTCTGTTGTTTAATTGATCAGAACCAGAAACTGCAGAAAGTGAAAAAAGATGTTTGGATTTCCAACCTTCCAACAGTCCAACAGTCCAAAGTGACTCCAATTATTATAACAAACTATAAAAACTGGGACAACTGTTGGATTTTTACCTCTACTAATGTGTGACTTCTACTTCATTCTACTTTATTCTACTTCATTCTACTTCATTCTACTTTATTCTACTTCATTCTACTTTATTCGACTTCATTCTACTTCATTCGACTTCATTCGACTTTATTCTACTTCATTCGACTTCATTCGACTTTATTCGACTTCATTCTACTTCATTCTACTTTATTCTACTTTATTCTGGGCTCCTCCTAAAAACCAGGGAGCCATGACTAAATCAGACGTGACCGAGAGACAAAAATTTAAAAAATTTATCAAAACCAAAAACTGAAAAAACTGAAAAAATCATCAGATCTTTTACTTTTTAAGGCCCCGTGATTCATCATTCATGCCTAAAAAATAACCTTTTTGGATAAAAAGCTTCCTGCAGTAGAACACGGAGGTTAATTTAACGTATAAACAGAAGAACAGAGGACTTTACTAACAGTTATTATAACACGTATAAAACCAGAAACATCCGTAGTTCTTTAATACTTACGTCATCTTTGGCTTGGAAGAGATACTCGTTTCCATCAGTGATCCTGCAGAAGACGATCACATCAATTAATACACAAGGACAGTCAACAAATGTTTCTTCTCCAGTCACCTCATAAGAACTTCTTATTCGTCGTCTTACATCTGTACTGAGGATAACGACTGTTTACTGATAGTTATAGAAGCATAATGAACCTTTTAGCTTCTATTTATTCACGTTTAGCTAAACCGGCTCCATTAAAACGAGCCGTTAGCAGCTCCTGGATGTTCAGACATTCAGCTCAAAGTGGAGCGTTTCCTTCATCCTTCACCCACTTGAGCTTGAAGACGTGCTTCTTCTTCTTGTAGTCCACGGCCACCTCGCACACGGCGTCCTTCAGGCTGACGGGGATCTCGCTGTGGTACGGGATCCCCTGACTGGCGCTCTTCTGGTCCTTGTAGAAGCCCATCTCCTGCTGGTTGATCACGCAGTAGACGTTGTGCCACGACCTGCAGGGACACGAGTGGAGCTGGTCAACGCTGAAGAGCTGAACGATAACGACAAACGGGTTCACAGAGTCCTGATCCACCCTGTGGGCTTCAGGTGAGCCACAGAGCTGAAGAAGTGCTACTAACCAGGACCTGGACGACTGAGGATCTTCACATCACAGTTTAAAACCTTTCTGCAGCTGGAGGCAGCACTAATGCTGCTGAACGATCCCAAACAGTCCCAACAGTCCCGGTTGGTTCCTACCTGCTGGAAGCCTTCTTGTTGTGGCCCTCCCACTCGTGCTTGCGGTGCAGGAAGCCCTCCAGCTGGGACGTCGGGGCGTCCTGTTGGGTTTTGGCCGGCAGCGTCGCCGCCTGGCTGGCTTTAGCTTTACGAGACGCCCCGGGAGACCCGGAGGGGCTCGGCTCCGACACTCCGTTCACCACCTCGGCTCCTTCAACGTTCTCCTGGAACCAGAGCAGACAGAAGAGTCAGAGGACGCCGTGGACGGACGGGTGAAGCTCTCAAACGCTCACAGAAGCTGTAAATCAGAGCTGCAGCATGCAGAGCACAGACGAACCAAAGGCTGTGTAGACGCTTAGATGAACCTCCATGAACGAACTGAGCTCAGCCGACCTCAGACGGCATCGACCTGAAGCTACGCTCACATTTAATCTTCCTGTAATCACATGTAATCTTCTTTGTTTTGAAGCCAAACAGCGTTCTGAAAACCTGCATTCACCTGACGTCCAACTCCACAACCAGACTACACGTGGAAATAACGAAACAGGGAAGTCAATAAAAACTGACCACAGCAATGCCACCAGATCACATGAAACATGAGTCTACAAACTGCCCTACTGCCCCAAGACCACCGTGCTACTGGGCAGGAAGTAATCTGGTTGGGACGGACCTTCAGCTTCCTGAGTTCAGTAAAGTGTCCTGGGTGGTCTTAGATTCTGAATCCAACATTTTATTTAGGTTTGCAAAATTAATGATGAATCTGCCAATTATAGTTCTGATTAATTTATTAACTGTTCAAAACTTAACAAATGCACTGGCTTCGTTCAGCTAACAACAACAAAACAGCACTTTTCACTGACATGATTATTACAATAGACACATCTTCTGGTGAGTGTTGGAGCCCAACCAACAGATTTCACGCCAACAAACCTAAATTCCTTTTATAAGTTTGTTAATTTAACATTTATACACCTTGAGCCTGAATTTACCAACTTCCTTACGTGTGAACTAATCAACAACGTCGCTGTGAACCAACACAAGCTAATCCTGGAGGGCTAGCTAATCCTGGAGCATTAGCTAATCCTGGAGCGCCAGCTAACCCTGGAGCGTTAGCTAATCCTGGAGCGTTAGCTAATCCTGGAGCGTTAGCTAGTCCTAGAGCACCAGCTAACCCTGGAGCGTTAGCTAGTCCTAGAGCACCAGCTAACCCTGGAGCGTTAGCTAATCCTGGAGCGCTAGCTAATCCAGACTTCAGAGCCGTCCTCCAGCTACATCAGCCTTTTAAAGCTTTGGTTTTTTAGCGTTTGATTATTTAGTGTGAGCTGAGCTGGATTCCAGCGCTGATTAGAAACACATCTGCGTCACATTAACAGCACAGAGACAGGACATGCACTGATTACACGCTTGACAACATGCATGATCACAACACCACTCCACAACACACACCACGGCCGACAGCGTGAAGATAGACGAGGGAGGGGAGAAGCCAGCGGAGGTCAGAAACACAAAATAATCTCAAACAATTAACCACAAAATTGCTTGGAAGTCATTACTGGGCGTCATTATTGGTGAGGGGAGATTGGCCTAGTATCAAAACAGATTTTATTTTCCACACCACACCCACTCCAACCGGTTGCTAATTACCCTGAGCTCTTCAAGGGCCGGACGACAACAGTTCAGAGGCCGGACCAATCCTGGGAGCTTTAACTGAAGGGCTTCAAGAGCTGGACGCATCCTGGGAGCTTTTAATTAGAGCTTGGAAAGAGCTAAACCAACCTTGGAAGGCCTCAACTTATCCTCAAGGAATCCTGAGCTTCGGTGTGTGTTGAAAGTTGGACCAATCCTTGGAGCTTTTATTGGTACTATCAAGGACTCAACTACCCCTTTCTAAATGAGTTTCTTAGAACAAGTTTGCCCAGTCCTTAGAGGTGTCCGTTAAAGGTTGGACCCATCCCGGGAACTTTTATTGGTAGCTTCAAGGACTCAAGCTTGAGTGAGTTTGTCCAGTTGTTACAGGTGTCTGTTAAAGGTTGTACCAGTTGTGGAAGCTTTCATTGGGAGTATTAGGGACCGAACTACTCCTCACAGACTCCTGAGTCTAAATAAGTGTCTTAGAGAAAGTTTGTCAAAATTCTTAGAGGTGTGTGTTGAAAGTTGGACCGATCCTGGGAGCTTTTATTGGGAGTATTGAGGACTCAACTACTCCTCAGTGAACCCTGAGCTTCAATGAGTTTCTTAGAGGAAGCTTGTCCAGTTTCTAGAGGTGTCTGTTGAAAGCTGCACCAATCCTGGGAGCTGCTATGGATACTATCCAGGACTCAACTACTCCTCACTGAATGGGTTTCGTGGATCAAGTTCGTCCAATTCTTAGAGGTGTTTGTTAAAGGTTGGACCAATCCTGGGACCTTCTAATGGGCAGTATCAAGGACTAAACTACTCCTAGCTGAATCCTGAGCATCAGTGAGTTTGTCCAGTTCTTAGAGGTTTCTATTAAAGTTTGGACTAACCCCGTTAACCTTTAACTGAAGGGCTGCAAGAGCACCACCAATCCTGGGAATCCTTTTGTTGGGAATACACAGGACTCAATTACTCCTCAATGAATCCTGAGCTTCAGTGAGTTTGTTGGAGAACGTTTATCCAATCGGAGGTGTTTGTTGATGCTTTTTAAAGACCGGACCAAACTCTTACTAAGAGACGATAAACTTGTAAAGAGCTACACCAAATCCTGAATATGACTATTTTTTTTATCTCTCTTAAAAACTGACTGTTTGAGCCTTTGACTTGAGGCTCGGATGTATCTGTACCTTCTGTTTCCCATGTTTCATGTTGGTATATATGGATGTCCTTAAATAGGTAGCGGTTGCTAAAAATTTTCCACCACAGCAACGGTAGGAGGACAGAAACATTCTGGCTACCTGGGAAATTATGAGTGTGCATTAAAAAGTCTGGCGACACAATTTTATAAAAACATAATGTCTGCTCAGTTTGACACCTTTTCTGACTGTTTCTGTTATATTTAAAAGCAGAGCTGTCACGATGTCAGACCTGCACCACACAGCTATGGTGACAAAGAGAAGTCTTGATACTATCGTGACATCTATCGAAGATCTTGCAAAGAATTCATCTTTAACTTTGTTTATTGTGTTTTTGCCTCATTCTTGGGAAACAAACTCTTAACACACGTTGACTGAGGTTGACAACCAGAACGTCCCTGTTTGTTATTTCTATGCTGGAGTATCTACAATATTCTTACTGGTGCATTAATAACAACACAGGTATTGTCAACACAGGTATCTCTTGACATCCCTACTTAGTGGTTTGTTTTTAAACTGCACCAAACAATGACAAACTTCACCTTTGGGTGGTAAACATCTTTAAAACATCCACCGCTAGTTGGTTACCTTCGTCTTCTAAATGAACTCCTGGTTAAATAAGAACCTGAGTTTCTGATCCAACAGTCAAGTGTTGAGTATTTTCTACGCTAAAAACATCCTTTCATCGTGCTGACTTTGATGAAACCGGCCCTGCTGAGTTGAACATGTTGAAGTGAAGCCCCAGGATGAAGAACATGAGATGACAACAGAAAATCCAACTGAAATGCTACTGATGGACACAGCATGCAGCAAAACAACACAACATGAACACTGTATGTGGAGAGAAGTCGACACGGATGAAACATGGACAGACAAACCAGAACGGGTCCGAGTGCACTGATTGATTCTGACGGGTTTATTGGGGAATGAGTGTTAGTCAGGAGGGAGCTGGATCGACATGCGACAGGAGAAATTATAACAGAAAACCATGAAAACAACAAGAACCGATGATAAAACTAGAGCTAGATAAATATGGAGGGAGGTGGTCGACACAAACACACTCACACGGCGGGACTCGTGGGTCTGAACGGTTATACATGAAGGAAGAACCAAAGTTGTGGACGGATGTAGAAGATGGATGACATGGGATGTCAGAACCTCACACATGACTTCTCTGGAATGATCGTGGAGTTTGTGACGAATGTTTAAGTTAAATCTGAACCATCACAAAATCATGAAACTTACAAATATTACACCTGAAACCTGGAATTAAACTGTTTAAAGCTGGACCCTGTCTTCTTTTATTGGGTGTAAATAATAAATAGAGATAAATATGTTTGGAATGAATCCGATTTGAGCAGAAAGCTGTAATTGGCAGCCGTTAAATGGCTGCAGTGTTATTCACAGGGCGTTTAATGTGTAAAAGTCAGTAAAAATGCTGGTATCGAATTCTAAATGAGCAGAAAAATTAAGTTTTTCCAAATTGTAAACATCTGACAGTTTTCAGAAGACGTTTTCACACGGCGTGCCCATTTGTTTGCACAGTTTGGTGTATGTAGGCGCTGCTCAGACGACTTTAAAGGCTGTGAGTTCAGCTTTTTAGCTTTTCCTAAATTACAAACTTTAGTCTGTTTTTTAAACATTTTCCAGAAGTGACATAAAACGAATGTAAAAATGAACATGAATGGAACTTTACACAGAATGCATGTGTGATGGAAAACCATAAAATAAACAATATGAAGATGGAGAACATGGGCGGTGGGATGTAGACACACCTGGGACAGGTACATATACTTTTTCTAGTTTGCCACTTGGGCATTTTTTAAATAAATAAAGGGGCATTAAACTAGTAATTATTGAATTTTTGAATGTAATTTAAGCTCTTCTTGATAAAAAGCAACGCGTTTTATATAATGTTCCTCATACATTTGTGGCTGGATTAATGTCTCAGTGATCAAAGTAAACTTTAAGGTGCTTAAAATCTTTTATTTTAAGACGATAACAGTAAGACGTGTTTTATTATTGATTTACCGTATATCCCAATACGCTGACGACACTGTGTTTTACATCAGAGACTATCTGCTGAACAAATTCTTTAACAAATTTGAATTCACTTCTTGTGACTTTAGAATTAGATTTTGGGATGTTTTATTTCCTGTCGGTGGCCTTCTCAGGTGTTCATATTCCACAGCGTGAGTTTATAAAGGACGACGTAAACCAGCAGTAACATTAAGAGCTGAGGGGAGAGGATGACGGGGGAGTCGAGCTGAGGGAAGAAGGGAGGAAGGAAAAGCAGAATGAGGGCAGGAATGTGCAGGTAAAGGTGTTGTTGGCTTGTTTTTGTGCACGAATGTGTGTGTTTGTGGTCCCGTACACCATTTATACAGTCACACTCACAACAAACGGGGCTTCGCACTGTTCTGTGTCTGAGTCGTCTAAAGAGTACAGAGAACCTTTTGTTCTGCTTTCATTAAACACACCAGGTACAAAAAGGAGTTTAGACGTAGAGCTGCTGGAGCTCAGAATGTGATGAAAAACTAATGATTCCCCCAAAAAACAAGCAGTCAGATTAAACTAAAGGGGACACGACAAAGAGTTAAGACACCATCGACTGAAGCTCATAACAGCTTCTTCAGTTTCCTCACAGTTTAGTTTTAAGTGTTAGAAAGAAGAAACCAAATCACTGAACAAGGATCAATGTCCACCTGAATCTTCTCTTCACTTCTTTCAAACCTCATTTTCAGAGGAAGTGTTTGTTTTTTTAAATTCCTTTTGGATGGAGAGCGGAGCAACGGAGAGTTTAAAATAATCCTCTGCAGCGAATCCACAAACATCAAACATAAAGAATTTTACAAATGACTCCAAATAAATAAAAGCAGGTTTGTCACCACAGAGTTAAAACCAAAACGTTCAAACTACATCCAGAATAAAACAGTCGTCCTCAGATGTATTCATGTTCGTTTAGCTTGAAAGTTCTGTCTTTGCTTCCTGATTTAGTCTCATCTGCTGCAGTACATTTACACCGTCTCATCCACGTCAGCTAACTGAACACAAACCAACTGCTTGAATGTTTAAACAGAGTTCACTCGCCCTAATCCAGGAAGAAGCTTCTTTTTTTTGCTTTGACAGTCGTTTGAAACTCTTCCTGCTGAACAGGACGACTCAGGTGGACACTGAGGCCTTCTCTGAAACCTCTTCAATCGATCTGCTGCTGCTTTAAGACGCAACACAAACCAAACCAATTAAACTGATTGGTCCTCTCACGCTGGCAGAGCGTTACAAACCAAACCGATCGCTGCTTTCTGCCTCTCATTAGGTAATTAGAGGAGATTCAGAAGCTTCTGGTTAAAAGGTCATTACACTAATAACAGTTACGACACCTGTAAAGCTAAACTTACAAAATAAGACATGATTAATGAGTCAGAGGAGCAAACAAGAGATGAATACAGGAGCATTATGTGTGTGTCGATACCAGAGCTTAAAGGTTTGTGTTTGTTTTAATCAGTCGATGTTGTGAGCGAGTGTCAGGGGGCAGCGGCGGTCCTGCGGCCCTGCAGGGTGCTGCTGTATTTCTGGTAGGCAGGCGAGCGATAACTAACCCTGGGAGACTCCTGGTCGGACGGCAGCCCGTTCTGAGACGCCGGCTCGCCCTCCCTGCAAACACAGCAAACACAGCAACACTTCAGTTAACTCAGCTTTAGTTACTCTGCTGAAGAAATCACAACATGCATCCGTGGCAGAGTTCACAGCCCTCCTGTGACCTTCATTTACTCATTTATTCTACACAAAAAACAATGTTGAGGCACAACCGTGAAGCCTCCAGTGACTCGGTTGAGCACATTTAAGACAAGCGTTAAAACTAATTAAAAATGTGAGCAGCAAAACATCTACAGTCCAGAGAACCACCACTGTTTCCACGATTTATAACGCCTGTGGGCACCTGGGAGAATATTGGACATGTTGTTTTCAGGTTATTGCAATAAATAAATAAGTAAATAAATAACGAAGTAAAGAAATGTCAGTAGTAAAATAAAAAAAACAAAGATATGTAAAGGTTCAGACTGTCCAGTGTGGAAGCAACAATACTGCACATATCAGTGGTGCTGCACAAACTGTACATTTTACAATTCATGGATAAGAATAATAATTATATTTTAGCATTAAAACTATCATTTGGGTTAAAGAGCTTCTCCATGCTGGTGTCTGAACCGCTACAGAAGCATGAGAAGTGATTTATGTTCATTCAGAGCATAAACCCGACGTCGGCTGGAGGTCGAACCACCGTCTCACCTCTGCTGAGCTGCAGCCTCGGCCGTCTGACCCTCTGCAGGTGGAGGTTGTCTCCTCCTCTCTTCTTCCTCTTGCCTTCTTCTCACTTCCAATAACTCCATCTGAACACACAAGCACAGCGTCAGCGTCTCCTCTCTCCGTCTACAGATCTACTCCGGTGGACGGTCGCCGGCCTCACCGTGGTCAGCCTCTCCAGAGCGGCGAAGCGCTCCTCCCAGGTGGCGGCCGACTTCTCGAAGGCCTCGTGGCGCTTGATGAGCTTCTCCACCTCGTCCACGCTCTGGCCGATCTCCCTGCTGGACAGGTAGGGTTCCTGGCCCAGCAGCCAGGCCTCGGCCACGCCGGCGTCCCGGGAGAACTGGTGCACCTCCAGCACTGGACACACATTCATGGATTAAAGCAGAGCTCCTGGACTAAACCACGACGTGAGAAACGGTTTGACGTGAACATCTCACCCAGTCTCAGCCACTCCCATCTGTCCTCCCACTTGTCAATCATGTCTTTCCTCTTGTCCGTCAACTGTAACAACTTTTCTTTAATCTGCAGGAAGAAGAGATGAGATTCAGATGAGATAAAACGACTTTATTTAAAATGTCTTTATGTGGTTCGGACAAACAACTAGCAGCACAAAACACAGAAGCTTTAACCCTCTGAAGCCCAAAACCTGCACATTTGAGAAGCACGTTGTCTTTAAAATAAAATAAAAATAACCAAACTGACACCATTTATCAGAGTTGGACAGCGTCTTAAAGAATCGTGTGGTTTCCAACTTTCCGGAGGTCCTTGAACTAATCACTGTTCACCAGCCTGGAGCTTTCCAACACCCTTCAATCTGCTCGAGTGATTTTATTCGACACGTCTGACTTGAAAATTTACCAAAAATTAACAGTTTGTTCTATTTAAATTCTGTAAAATACAAAAATTCTGCGTTCCTCATCGTAACTGAGGAGCCTTCAGTCACTCAGGTGAGACCAACAGTCAGGTGACAAGAATTCAGGAACTTTTTGGTTAAACTGCAGGCGGTGTTCACACAGAGCAGACAAACAGACGAAACATCTGAGCAGGAAACCAACCACAGAATGAATGTTATAAAGCACAGAGGACGTTTAAAGTTCTCTCTCCTTCTAGTCCTGGTTGTTCTGTTTCCATAGAGCGGCAGGACTTCATGCTGCAGTGACAAATGAGCCCACAGTGGGTTAAAACGTGACGGGAACAGAAACTGTCTGGAGATTAAAACTAGAAGCTACGATTAGGATGAAAGGTGCAGAAAGATCTTCTCCAGACAGGAGGTCCAGCTGTGAATGAACAGATTAAAGCTCCTGGACTTAAAACAGTCTAAATAAATAAAATGAAGAAGTAAATCACCACCTCCTCTGAAGCGTAGTGCTTGCGGGCCAGCAGGGCCTTGCCCAGCTCGATGCAGGCGGTGAAGCTGTCGTTGCGGGCGTCGATCTCGGCCTTGATGCCCTGATGGTTGTTCATCAGCAGCTCCACCGAGGACACGTCCCTAAAAATAAACAACACACACAGCCAATCAGCAGCAAGAAGGAGAAGCAGCTCGTTTACTGTGGTGCTGTTTCAATCAACGATAAAAAGGATGTAAAATGAGCAGAAATCTACATGACAGAGCAGAGAGTCCGCAGCCTGAGCATCACAGAGTCTACACTTCACAGTGTTTCGTGTCACTTTGACCAGATTCAGTTGGATTTTTGTTCATTTTTATGGAGGATTTGCTCCTTTAGATTCTGCAAGAAGTTGGAAAAAGCTGCACGATAAAAAAACAAACTGATATTAAACAGAAACTGAAGCTCGTATGAAAACAGCTGCCAGAATAATCCCTGGTTTGTTCAAAACTAAACATGTGGCTACGAGTTACTCCAACCAGCAGTCTCATGACTAAATGCAGAGATTAAACTAATGAAACATCTACATGAGGAGTCAGCTTGGTTTCACTGTTCCCCCTCCTTTTATAAAACAACTAAATAAATGATCCCGTTTCTTTTCTTTTGAATGATTTATGGCATTCTGACTGAAGACTTTCTCTCTGCTTCTGGTCCTGGTTGTTCTGTTTCCAAACAGATGCAGGACTTTATGTTGCGGTGACAAATGAGTGAATAAAAATGTGAAAGGAGCAAACAGCAGCTCCAGATGAGACGACTCAGTGAGGCTGACTGAGGTTTGTCTGCGTCGTATCGGTTTATAAACTGAAGTGTTGTATTCAGGCCACGTTTCTCTGCTTTATGTCGTTTTACAGACAAATAAACGAGCAGACTAATTAAAACGAGCTTTCATTCAGGAGGCTTCTGCTCTAGATTTGCTCTGTGACGTCAGAACACTTTGAAGGACTCGTCTGACTGAACGCTGACACCAGAGCGCGACTAAACGCCGACTCATCCGGACCGAGCTGATGAAACGGGCTGAAACGCGGCGGGCCCTCCTACCTGGGCTTCTCCTGGGCCTCGATCAGGCGGATCACGTCCTCCATCCACAGCATCAGGTCCCGCACCATGCTGAAGAAGCGGAACTTGTCTCCGGTGTCCACCAGCTTCACCCGGCGGCCCTCCACCGCCTCCAGCAGGTTCTTCCAGGCCTCCAGAACCTGAAGACGAAACACAGCGGGGTTCAGACCAGAGGGACCAGAACCTGGGCTCAGAGCTGCAACCTTCGTTCATTCTGCTGCTGCGTGTCTGATCTCAGCGTGTGAACTCATGGAGGACGTGTCCACCGGACTGGGTCTGGTCCTCCAGCGGTTCTGTCGGGGAGCATCGCAGCCCGGGGAGGGAAACAAATGGGACGCAAGCAAATAAAAAGGACAACGCATTCACCGTGCAGACTGCAGAAGCTCCAGACACACCTGCTGGCAGCAGGTCAGCGAGCAGGACGGCCGGATGCAACATGAGGAGTCGTAACGTGGAGGAAACGCATCCTGACGCGGGACTTTATCCTCACGGCCTCCATGTTTCATCCTGACTATGTTTGCATGTGACAGTAACTCACCTCCTGAGCTTATTACAAGGTTTTAAATACAAGCACTTTTTTTTTCTTTTTTTGCAGGTTTTGTGCAAAATGTTTTAACCCTCTGAACCCCAAAACCCCAAAACCCCCACTGTGCCTTTGAAAAGTGTGTCATGTTTTATAATAATTAATAATTATATTTATCAGAACCACAGAACAAGGAACTGTTAAAATAAAATAAATAAATAAAAAAGAATGACTGGATTTCTAACTTTGTGGTGTTCCAATAGAAAAATGAACCAAATCAAAGCTAAAAAACAATTTAAAAAATTCTCCTAAATGAAGCTTTGGCAGCAATCAAATTCTGTAAAAAACTAAATATTTTGCAGAACTCGGTGGAAACACGAAGCCACTCGTGACCCGGCTGCAGCCGACAGTCTGGTGGAAAAAATTCTGAGAGTTTTTATTTTATTTAGGCTGAACTGCAGGCAGTGTTTCCACAGAGCTGAGAGGAAACAAGGATAAAAACAAATTTAACTAAATCTAAGTAGGGAAATATCTAAATTATGTAGAGTCCCTATTTTATCCATTGTTGGTAAGACCTGGAGGAAAATGTTGTACATGGTGTTTTGTTTTTTTGTAAAATAAAAACATGGAAAAAATTTAACATTTGTTTTTTTAGTGATTTCTGTCATTATAACTTTGCTATACTGGGCAGAAGACATGTCTGATCCTCTCTCCTTCTAGTCCTGGCTGTTGGACTTTATGTTGCAGTTAAAAATGAGCCACAGTGAGTAAAGATGGACTAAAAGCACCCGGGGTACAGAGGGTTAACGCTAATGCTAACTGTAGCACAGAGCAGCGTGTTAATCTGTTAGCAAGCAGAGCTACGTTCTACCAGCTCAGTGTCTGATTTAAAAGCTATGTTCAGTCACAGCGTCTTGTCGTCACACACTTGATGGCTGCAGACGACTGCAAGCGGCGGCGCTTTGCGAGCTAACAAGCAGCTACCGTGTGCAGCTACGGATACTAGAGATGCATCTTAAACTAGTTTGAGAGAAGCGACGCTAGAGGTCAGAATCCTCAGCTCTTCGTCCTCAGACCCAAACTGTGTTTGCAAACTGCTCGCAGCGTTTGTTTTAACCTTCCCAGTGGCCCAGACGGGTGGAGCTTACAGCTTATTGCGACTCGTCAATCAGAGTTTAAATCCACCCTCACACGGGTCTGAGACAGACGGAAAACAAACCGTACGAGTGTTTGCAAACCACCGGGTCTGCGGCTAACGCTAGGCCAGAACTAAGCCGCATGACAGGGACTAAAATGTCTCTAAGACGTCTCAACATTTTAGTCGGAGGATTAACAGAAAGTCTAAAACTGCAGCCAAAATGAACGCTGATGCAAAGCCGATGTTTCTGGTAAACGGAGGCTCACCTCTCCCTTTCTCTTCTGGGCGCACAGGGAGCATATGCAGGGAAATGGACATACAGGGAATGGTCAAAACACAGCGCCATCAAAAACACTCAATGTCAACACTCTGGGCATCGTCAGGAGACACAACGGTCTGAGAACCCCACCAGAACCCCACCAGAACTTTGGGTTTTCTGATGAGTCTGTGGAATCGTCTCCATGGAAACTGTCGTCGGCGGATTTGTGAATAAAGATGGAGGGAATGAAGACGGATGTTTGGTCTGAGCTGCAGCAAATCGAGTTCAGAGAATTTTATCCAGTGTTCAGATTTCTGGTCTACAAACTGTCTGCACTATAAATTTAAAAGTATATTAGCTCGTTTGCAAATTTAAATATAAAACATTAAAAATCACCGTCTTATTGCAAATAATCAACCGGCAGAGTCTCCTGTTGACAGCTTTTCATTTGTACCTGACTCACCTGAATAACAGTTTAAATGAAAGGCTACCTGTCTTCATGCTAAGCTAAGCGAAGCTAAGCTAATAACATTCTCTGTGGAAGACGGAGATTAAAAGGATTTTTTAGTTCCTACAAACTTAATTAAGTTTCCTTTAGACTCGAGTTTAAAACCTGGAGCAGCAGAAGGAAAACGCACGAGGACGCGACCGGACCATCGGTTCTGATCAGGCGCCTTCAGACAGAACGCGGCGTGAACTTTCAGATCGGTGAAGATCACATGATCACCTACCGTAGAAGAGGCTGCTCTGCTTCGTACCCGTTATTCTGTGAAGTTCACTGAACGTTTTATCTTTAACTGGACTCAACCTGCTCGCTGTCCCACATCAACACACCTTCATGGAATAAAATCTGTCATCAGATAAAATCATTTCCTTCCAGGTGCTGTGAGGAAGATGATGATGCTGAAAGGTGCACCTTAAACCAACGGGCAGTGAAACAGTCAGTAGATTATAAACCTCGTTGGTTCTGAAGATTGACACGTAAACCTCATGAGGAGTTCTGCTACTGGCTGTGGAGAGGCCTGATCGTGGTGTTTCCAGTATTTTGACCATGCCCTGTACCAGTTTAATTAATATTTACGGCACCACTACGTACTCTAGATAATCAAACCTGACTGTTTAGCTCGTGTAAAAGCCTTCAGACAGAGCAGAGGTTTGTTATTCTCTTTACTCCAGGCGCTCCTCTGTATTGCTTTGTGTTTTCCTGTGGGTGCAGAGGGACGGAGCGGTGTTAGTGCAGCAGCAGTGCAGCATCATGCAGGAGGCAGAAGGCCTTTCACAGGGACCACACTGACATCAGTGCTGCGTCCAGTTCAGTTTAAATCCAATCAGCCAGAGACGGAGGCTTTCTGCTGTGAGGGACACGTGGGGGTTGAATTGGACGTGAACTGAGCCCAGTCCTGATGCGCTTCATGTTTCACTTCGACTCACCTCTCCTTCTCTTTTCTGGATGTCGTCGGCTTTGTCTCCGGCGTACGCCGACTGCAGGCGGACGGCGTCCTCCTGAAGCTGCCGCACCTGCAGGAGGAGCAGCGGGAAAGAGTTCAGGTGGGTGTAAGACGGGATTCAAGACCACGAAAACACACAGAACGTCCAAAAAGAGACTCAGAGTTAGCACAAAGAGATGCAAAACAGCCACGAAGGGATTAAAACGACCACAGAGAGAAGAAACATGACCACAGTGAGACACAAAAAGATAAAAGAAGGGACAGAAAAAGACCACAAACAGATATAAAACAGTCCCAAAAAGACACAACAATCATAAAAGGATGTCAAATGACCTGAAGGAGACGGAAACCAGTGAGCAACACATGCAGAACGATCACAAAATGATGATGGAGAAGCAAAACGACCTCAAACAAATGAGAACGAGACACAAAAATATCATACAAGATGAAAAATGACCTAAAAGAGACACAAAAAAACAAAAAAAGGGACACAAATGACCACAAACAGATTCAAAACAACCACAAAGAGTCACAGAGCGGCCTCAGCAGACTGTACCTGTGTCCCCAGAGCCTGGATGTCGTGTTCGAAGGTGGTGTGCATCCTCTGCAGCGTCTCCACCGTGTTCTGGTCGCGGCCCAGCTCCTCCGGGAGCTTCTTGTGCTTGTCCAGGATGCGGTTGAGGATCTCCTTGGCGTCGTGGTAGAACTTGTGGAGCTCGTAGGAGGCGGCGAGGATCTGCGTCCGGGTGTCGATGAGCTCCAGCAGGTCGGCCCAGGCCTCGTTCAGGCCGTCCTTCCACTCGGCGATGGTGGCGGCGTCGCCGTGGCCCGCGTTGATCAGGTCGTCCGCCAGCCGGTTGACGGCGTCCACGCGCTCCTGGCCGATGTTGCCGGTGTCGCGGGCGAATTCTCTGAAGCGCTCCTGCAGCATCTGAAGGAGACAATAAAGATACGTGGTGAGTTGCAGGAGTCTTCAGACAACAGAAGATGACTTTATTGATCATTATCAGCTCATGTGAGACTTGTTGTGACAGTTAATATCTGCTTCATGGGTTTTATTATGAAAGGTATCAACAGACAGCAGACGGCATAAAGAACATTATTACTGACCAAACGTGGATTAATTAATAAAACAATTTTAAAAAACAAAAACATTGGAGGTCTGTAACAACGGGACCAGAGATTCTTTGGTCCATTGTTGCTAAAGTTTAGAAGACGCTTTAGAAGGACCTAACTAGCATCATTAGAGGCTAGCAGAAACTCGCTAAAACTCAAATGAGCTAACTCGAGTTAAGGAGAGGTTTCTTTAGTTAACAGGAGCTGATAAGGGCTAAAAGGAGCTATCTGTAGCTAACAAGAACAAGAGGTCATATTAGCAATCGGGAGCTAACAGGTGCTAACTGTAGTTAATAGGAGCTAACACAAGCCACCAGGTGCTACCTGAGGCTAAAACGACTGCAGAAGATCCATCAGGAGCTAGCAGGTGCTAACAGAAGCTAATGGAAGCCAATAAGTGCGCTGAAATTCAGGTTGATCAATAAAGCAATGAGGTTTTACAGTTAAAAAATACAGAGTAGGATGGGAAGATCTTTCTCTAAAATCTGAAAAAGCAAAACTTACAAACATCTAATTTGACATTTTTGTAGTTTGGACGTTGCTAATACTTTTCAGAGTCCTGTTTGTGTTGTAGAGTCCGTGTTTTTGTTGTTAAGGAGCCACTAGCTTAACATGTGAGCTGTAGCCGCGACCTCCTGGTGCTTCTTAACATGACCGAGGAGCTAAAACTGTTCTGACATTCAGCACCACAGACTTGACAGACTACTGTTGTGTTGCATTCTATGCTAGTGTGACAATAATGAAACCAGTGTGCTGTACTGACGGTGACGTGCTCGTAGTCCTGGCCCAGCTCGTGGGATCCGGCCACCACCTCCCTCTCGGCGATCCACTGCTCCAGGTCGTCCACCTCCCGGTTGAGCTGGAAGAGACGGAAACGCTCGTCCAGCTTTCCCCGACGCTCCTCCGACAAGTCCTTCAGGCCGGCGTAGAGCTTATCCACCTGAGACTGACGCATCCCGATGCGCTCGCTGCAGGACGAGGACGGAACATCAGGAGTTACTGATCAATACGAGGGAAGGCCTGATCAGGTTTCTATCCCCCCGGTCTGATTAGAGTCAGTTAGTATCTAATCCCACTCTGATACCATATTCTGAGACACTTAAAGTTAGTAAACTAAATATCAAAAATGCATCTCTGCATCCAAGCTGTTCTTTAATTCAGGAACCTTGTAGTAAAGCTGCAGCGTCTGAACTGTGGTGCTAAAGGCTACGACGTCCTGTACCTCCACAAGCTCCAAAAGAAGGCAACAACCTGTATTCATGTCAGAAAACGTATTGTAGACCAGCTGTAGTACCTGGTTGTTCCACCAGGTGGCGCCTCCTACCGTTAAACACTGTAGCGACCAGAGGAGGCGTCATTCAGACTAACGGCAGCACGATGGGGGTTTAGCTAGCAAAGGGGCACCATGACAAAGACCTACGTGATACTTAAAGACCTCCGAACAGATTTTAGGTGTTTAAGACGAGCTGGGATCAACTACTGACTGAAACAGCAACATCAGGACCAGACAAACGTCCAGCACGCTTGATTTGTGTTACAGAATATTGGTTGATAATTGATTTAAACAAAATTAGCATCCCTAACGTCCTGCTAACCCTTTACAACAGCTAAACAAAACATCGGGCTAATGCCGATACCAATCAGCTTTAAAACGATCCTGATCGTTGATCCCTAATCTTTCCTGTATCTCTGTCTCCTGGCAGCCCACTAGTCCTGAACCAGAACCCCCCGACCCGCCTCACCTGTCCGGGTGTCCGGCGGCCACCAGGCCCCGGCTGGTGCTGGACAGCTGGTGGACGGTGTCGGCGTAATCCTCCACCGCCTGCTCCAGGATCTGGTGCTTCTTCAGCATGGCCACCGAACTCTGCTCGTCCTGACGGAGACACAGACGAACGTTTATCCTGAGAGTCAACACGTCTGTTAACGAGCTGACAGACGAACTAATTTAAAGACTCCAGAGCACAGACGGACGAACCGGAGAGGAGCCGGGACAGAAAAGTGAAAGTAAAGAGAGAGAGTCTGGGAAAGAGGGAAGAACTGAAAAGTTTTCTAAATTAAAAACAATAAATCTCCTCTACAAGCTTAATAATCAGCTTCTAATCAAACATCACGGCAGCAGATTTAAATTTAAAACAACCAACAGAAGTCCCAAACCTCTCAGGTCGGATTAAAAGCGACAGTACGGTGAGTCCATGTCAGAGTGTTTAAGAGCATCGACTGGATACCGACCAGCAGAAACAGAGAAGCAGCAAACTGAGGAACTGGCAGGTGAACTAAAACTAAACAAAGAAAAAGGAAGTTCTGGAGCCGGAGGGCAGAAACACCGACTGTGCTGTCAAAGCTGCACAACGGGTGGAGTCATAGAGAAACTAAAGGAAACCACCAGCTTGGTTTCAGGCAGACGGTTCAAAGAGTCTCTAAAGGTAATCTGTTAACATGGTTGGACACCTTTATTTACCTGCAGAGTTCATTCAGCCAATTATGAGGGAAAAAGTCACCGACGAGCTTTTTTCACGACATAAACTCAAACTAAAAACTTTTAAGACGAGATGAAATGTTTCTGATTGTTCGTCAACAAAACAGAAACTAGACATTCATGCCGACTGTGTCATCAACTCACCTGCAGCCACGGCGCAGTGAGAACGCCAAGTTACCAAAATAAATCAATTAAAGATTAACAAAATAAAAGTGGAAATAATGATAACGATATCTGGGATCCAAAACTAAGTTCTGTTTTGAGAATTTCATGTTTTCAGACTTGCACATTTTTATATTTTTACTCTTCATTTACCTGGAAAGTCATTTTCAGGGTTTAATATCTCCAGAAGTTTACCTCCTTCAGTCTTTAGGTTCAGTGAGGACACAGACAGAATAGTTTACAGCCGATTAAATGACTCCAGCAGAGGCCCAATTATTACATACTGGTGCTTGGAAATGGAAGAAAGTGCAAGATTTTCAAATTAAAGTAGCCTTGGGGATCCAGGAAGTTCTTGTAAATGATATAAATGGATGTATCCATGTTTCCTACTAAAAATAGAGCCTTTGGTCGACTTTCCACCAACGTCAGCAGAATTTCATTTGTGGCAAGAAAAAGGTAAAAGTATTTTGATCTGTTCACTAAATGTTGACGTGGACTCTCTGGTAGGAGACAGACACTGGTGGTCTTTGGGTCTAAGTGTTGGTATTATAGGTGTAAAGCTGATTTTGTATTAATCTACCAACACATTTGCTTCCTGAAGGGTCCAATACAGACACTTAGAATGATCAGTGAACAGAGAACTTGGGCCCAAATAACGAACAAATAAACTCAGAATCTGTTGTTCTGAAGCTGGGTCAGTTTTAAAGATAATTTCTGTTTGTCTCGAGGCTCAAACTCAAAACCAGTCGACAGCCCGAGTTCTAAACCAGCCCCACCACCACCAGAACCCAAACCACAGGAGGAGGAAAGCCGTGACTCCGCCTCCTCCGCTCACCTTGGCCTTCTCCTCCGACATCATGTACAGCTCCTGCTCGCTCATCCAGGCCTCGGCCTCGGCGGCGTCGAAGTAGTACTGCTGGGCCTCGTGGGCCTCGCTGAGCCGGGTGTGGCGCTTCTCCGTCTCCTTCCTGATCTGGTCCCACAGCGCCTGCAGCTCGGCGAGCCGCTGGCGGATCAGCTCGGCCGTCGGGCTGTCCTCCCTCAGCACGTGCTGGCTGCGCTCGAAGATGTCGTCGAAGCGAGGCTGGTGGCCCTGGATCTCCTTCTGCAGGGTCTGAGGAGGGCCGGGTACCACACAGCCGGATTTAGACAATAATCATAATAACATGATGTAGATTAAAGCCACAGCCGCTCCTCTTGTTGTACGTCTGATAACAGAGGAAAGTGTTTTATTATAACATGCATGGACGACTTCCTCTGAGTCTGATCTGATCTCAGCTGTGTGAAGCAGGACGGGGATGAGAACACATCTTATCCTGGAGGAGCCTGAAACTATCTGCTCTCTAAAACCTGCTTTCCTTCCTTCCACTGTTTATTTTTAACTCTGTTTTTAACATGACAGCAGAAGTTCTAACCCCATGAACGTGTCCTTCAGAGATGGACGGCTGCGTACCTGGTTCTTCTTGATGAGCAGCTGGACCGTCTGCAGGTTGTGTCCGTGGTCGGTGGACGTGGCGATGGGCATCCTCTCCTCCACCCACAGCTGCACAAACACGTTACAGCGTTCAGTTATCAGCGTTACAGCCGCTAACACTCCCAGTGATGGGACTCTTACATCACTTTACAGCCTCAGAATCACTTCTTACTTTTACATCCCAGCCTTATTTCAGCTTATTTATCTTTTAGTGATGTATTGTTCTTATATATCACTGCTTTTCTACCACATTTACTTTAATTAATCCCATTTTGTGGTCATTTACACACTAACAAATCACCGCTGCGTGTTGAAACTGACATGAAGGTTCAACTGTGTTATCTGCGGTGAACAACTTTGAGTGCAAATAAATAAAAACTGGTTTAAATGCTGCTGCTGTTGCTCCAGATGCTGCCGGTCGGTTCATTTACCGACATGCTGCAGTATTTATTCGTTCTCCTACAACTTTAGATATTTGTCATGTGTTCACTGTCAGATTGTTCACACGTGAACTGCTGCTTGGTTCTACCGTCGGTTCCTCTTTCAGTTTCTGATAAATCAAAGTTATTTCTGACTCACGATCTCGTCCTCCACGTCGCGGTTGAACTGGTGGATCTCGCGGGACGCCATCAGGTTGTCCCGCCTCTTCTTCAGCGGGTCCTGCAGCGACTGGAACTTCTTCTCCACGCTGATGCGCTGCCCGTCCACCTCCTCGGAGCCCTTCCCCTCCTGGCTGAGGGCCTGGGACTGGCTCCGGAGCTCCTCCACCTCCTTCTGACGCACCTCCACCTGGCTCTCCAGGATCTGACGGACGGGTCACAGGTGGAGCAGTGATTAAAGAGAACTCATACAAAATAAAAACTAAAAATCTCCACGACTAAATAAAAAAAATAGAGCAAATACAAGATATTTTGGGGAAAAAAAAAAAAAGGGAATTCCAACAACAAACATGAAATCTGACTTCAGAGTAAAATGAAAACCTCTAAGATTCAACGTCTCCGTCCTCTGCAGCTGGAATCTAGTTTAAGAAACTCAAATTATTCAGTTTTGGAATTTACACTCAAGTTTCCTCCTGTTTTATATCAATATTTGGAATTTTAAATACATTTTTGTTTGTATTTGTTTGTTTGTTTGTTAAAGAAATGTGAGTAAAGAGTGACATCAAATCAAGATTTAAAATAAAATAAAATATACCTTAAAAATGCCTTAATGTGGAGCAAAATGTCCACGGATGGACGAAAAATGTAAAAATATTTAAAAGAACAACATAAATGAATAAAGAACATAAATTAAATGAATCTTAATTCTAAATATACAAAGAGTTGTGCTTGAATAGAAAAGAAAAACAGTCCAAGCGTCTAGAAAATTTAAAATTCAAATTCAGATGATTTAATTTATCAAAATTAAATTAAACTAGAAAAATAAAAAATTAAGAAAATAATAATTAAGCTGACAGAAGAGTCAAACATTTGGGGGGAAAAACTAAACAAAAAAATAAACTAGATTAATAAAATCTATGAAATTAAAAATTAAATTTAATAAAATAAAAAAAGTAAAATAACTTAAAAAAAACATTTTTTCCCGGGCCGTTACCTTTTGGGGAAAAATTAAATCTAAAATAGGAATAATAAAATAAATTACAAATGAAAAAAAAATATTTGCAAAAAACACAAATCAGAAAAATAAAAATTGTAAATAATCTTAAAATAGTAATTTTGAAAATATATATTTAAAAACATATTTAAATTAAAAATGCAAAAAACAGAGGAGTCGTACGTGGTCCTCATTTCCCAGAAAAAGCAGAATAAAAGCACAAAGATGTGATTAAAAAAAATAAAAAAATCAACTAGAAAAGCTTTTCCAAAAATAAATCAACGTCCCTCAGAGGCCTCGTCGCCTCCTCAGCCGACCTCCAGAAAGAGAATCAAGAGTCCCGAATAAACGTTAGAAATCAAGTCAGACAGGTGAGTAAACAGTCTGCGAGTAAACAACAACAGCACCAGCAGTAAACAGGTAACAGGAATCTAAAAATACGAGCCGAGGAGGACGAGGAGGAGGAAGAGGAGGAGGAAGAGGAGGAGGAGAGGATCTGGTTCTGTTTAACAGATCAAACAGTCGCTAATGATCTGCAGCCAACACACACACACCTACACACACACACACAGACACACACAGACACACACAGACACACACACACAGACACACACACACACACACACACACACACACACACACACACACACACACACACACACACACACACACACACACACCATCCTTCAAATGGCTGCAGCNACACACACACACACACACACACACACACACACACACACACACACACACACACACACACACACACACCATCCTTCAAATGGCTGCAGCGCTGTCTCTGTTAAAACACACCATCTTCTCCTATCTCTGTGAGGACCCTGCTGGTCTTAACGCCTCCTCACACCTCCTGTCTGAACCTCCAGCGTCACCATCCACCTGAATCTGAACCTGAAGCTTCAACATCACCACAGTCAGAACCCAAGACCCGGCCCGGTCCTCACAGAGACACCAACCCGGACCCTGGTCGGGCTCCGTGTGGGCTCGTAACACTTCAGATGAGCGATTACGTAACGGAGGAGTGAGAGCGAGCGCCGGTGGACGGATTACGTAAAAGGCTGCTTCTGATCTGGAAGCGTGGAAACGGGGAAGCTGCTGATTTCCTCCACGAGTTTAAGAGCTTCGAATTAACACAGATTCTTTTAAACTGCAGCGAAATCAGATCAATGAATTCAACTTCTGCTACGTATGGAGATGAAATTAAATCACCATCAGCAGCTCAGAGCGGTTACCTGAAGCTCATCAGAGGTGGATGAACTCTAGAACAAAGCCTCCAACATGGTGATGCTTTGGAGGCTTTTTATTACAATTTTCCTTAAAGTTAAAGTTAAAATCCTGTTTTAATTACTGCTCTGCACGCTCCAGAAGGACATGTCTGTTGTTTCTATCTGCTTTAGCCATAAACATATACACAGAGAAGGCATCTCTGCTGCTGAAACTGTAGAAAATGTCAGATTTTGCTGCTGCTTTCAGGCGAACGCAACATTTTACAGGTGAAAAGTTCTCCTAAAATGTTTTGCAGGTTAAATATTGTTTATTTTATACATGCAGCTGTATGTTTGAAAGGTATGTTATCTAAAAAATCATCACATTTACACCATTTATCATCAAGAAACTGTAAAAACAGAAAGAATCCTTGGACTTTAAATTTTCCGACGGTCCCTGAATGCATCATCTGATTGAAAAATTAACCCAGTTCGCTTGAATTCTACGCGTCTCGTTTAAAACCTGTTTGTTGTAACTGGATTCTGTAAAAAACAAAAAATTCTGCACTTCTCAGTGAAACTGTGAAGTTTTCAGCGGCTTGTCTGTGACCGACAGTCACACAACTAAAAATCTGGGACTTTGTGGCTGAGCTGCTTTATTTCTTCACACAGAGCAGGTGAGGACGGAAACTAATTAAAACGTTAATAGTCAAATATTTATAGTTTCAGACTCAGTTTTTGTTCCTATTGTTGAGAACACTTGTAGGAAAACGTTGCACATGTTAAGTCTAAAGTTTACCATTTTTTCAATATAAATAATGAAAGAAATGCTAATTTTGCTCGTTGTTTTTTACGATACACGTCACTACATTATGCACATACAGCGTTTCTCTGCTTCTAGTCACGGTGCTGCTGCTTCTGTAGACTTGTAGGGTTTTTTATTGCAGAGAACGACGCCAACAGTGAGTAAAAATATGACCCAAAGTCTACATCCGCTGAGTCAGACCACCAACTGAACATAAACTACAGCCGGGTGACGTTAGTTTTGCAGGATTTTGGCCACAAACCAAACCGGCTGACCTGCTGATGGTGCAGGACCAACATCTGAACCACATGTCTCTGGTATTTAATTCAGTTTTTAATGGAAGAAACCACCTGAAACTCCTCTAATGTGAGCTGCTCTACTGTTTGAGGGATCGAAAGCTTAAAAAGTTAGAAATCTGTCAGTAAACGATCCTTAAAAAGCACTTCTTCAAACCGTCACAGTATAAATAAAGAAGAAGTGCTGGTTCCCCTTCTGTCGAGCAGCTCCGCTGTGAAACTCTGCCGTCATACCGAGAGGCTTTACAGGAACCCAGTAACACACGCTTCCTACCTGCTGCTTCTTGAGCAGGATGTTGACCGAGGTGAGGTCTTTGCCGTAGTCGTCGGACTGCAGCTGCCCGTCCAGGTTGCCCAGCCACTTGTCCAGGTCGGCGCAGCTCTGCGTGAACAGCTCGGCCTTGTTGGCGTCGAACAGACACTTGGCTTTGGTCTGGGTGGTGGACTCCAGGTCCTGCCACATCGTCTTCAGCGACGCCAGCTTCTCCTTCACCATCGCCTCCGTCTCGGGTTTCTCTGCCATCAGCGCCTGGCTGTCCTGGAAGACAACACCCAGGGCTCAGCTTCTACCAGCAGCTCGAGATCAGGGACTGAATTCAACCGTTTCTACCAGGACTAGACCTGAGTGTAGTTACACATATAATACGACATCATACGCAGTGAAGATAAAACCCAGGACAGCTACCAGGCTGGTTCCTGATGTGGGATGTAAGGAGCAAACAAACACCTGATTTAGTTCAAAAGCAACACTGGAAACTATGAACTAGGAGAAAAATAAAATATTAAAAAGCTGTTTGCTCGTAACACCATGAAGAGTAGAGGTCTGTCAGTCTGTGGGTTAAACGTATGGGACAGTCTGACATATAAAACCCAGAGGAGAAGGTGTTCTTGGGGTTCCTAAGGAGATATAAAGGTGTAAGATATGAGATGTACGGGTATATAACAGGCAGGAGTTCAGTCAAGCTTCATCCTGTTCAGACGTTATTTAAGGTTTTGTTTGTTTTTTGTTGCGTTTTCTTTATTTTGTGTGTTTTGTTTTTGCATTTGTGATCTTTCAGGACTTGTTGATAACCAGCAGCTCAGACTAGTTATCTGATAAATGAAGCTCATTCCAGGTGAACATGAAGGAGTTAAATCTGAGAGAAACTCTTTCTGTGTTCACTGACGTTTCTAGAATTAATGCTAACATCCTGTTTTTGTTGTTGTTGCTCTACTGAAGAACAACATCTCTGTGATTTAAACGTCCTTTCAGCTCAGACATCTACACGTAGAAGCTCCGTCTGGTTTGTGGGAAGCGTCTCTGCTGCCGTGTGGTTGAACATGTCAGAGTGTTGTGCTGCCTTCAGGTGCTCTATTAAAAGAAGCAGCACAGGTGAGAGGTTTCTGAACTCATCGATCCGTTCTCCTGGTAGATGTTCGGTTGCAGGACGCCGCTTTCAGCTCAACATCTACAGTCACATTAACGCTACAGGAGCTTGAGATGAACAGAAGTCCTTAGAGAGGAGCTTCTCCACCCCCCGTCCTACCTTGTCGATCTTGTCCAGCCACTCCTTGTTGGACTGCAGCTCGGCCATGAAGGCCTGGTGCTTGAGCCACTTGCTGTGGAGGTTCCTGGCCTCGTCGTACGTCATGTCCTGAGCCGTCAGCATCTTCTCGTTGATCCACAGGGACAGCTGAGGACACACAACCAGGGAATCAGCTCGACCGACAGCCACCGAGGCGGACGCCCGTCAGAACAGAAGCTGTTTGGGTGTTTTACCTCCTGGCAGTCCTGCAGGAACTTCTGCAGGTCTCTGTTGTCCTTCAGCCTGGTCAGCAGGTCGCTGGCTGCTGCTCGGTTCTTCTTGTGTCTGTAAAACAAAAAACAACGAGTTTATTTCCCAGAACTTACATCCAGTTTTACATTTATTGTTGGGAGATGGTCGTACTTCAAGCCTGAGGAAGACAAGTTCATAACTGGTTTAGTTTTCTCTCAGGCCTGTAAAGCTGTTTTAATAATTATTTCATCAATCAGAGTGAAAAAAATATGAATAAAACACCCATGATGACTTGTTTTAAATTACTGCCACGATCAGTGAAGGAAATCAAAAACACCTTCACATCTCAGTCACATTTTAACCAGTAAATGTGGTGGAAATCAGTTTAAGTGAGTATAATCTCAGGTTTTTAGAGTATAATCTCAAAGGACGAGTAAATGAACCAGTTATCTCTGTTTATAAAAGTATAATCTCAGTTATGTGGTTACAGACCAGGTAAACAACTCAATAATCCTCAGTTACCAGGTTGAAGACTGGGTAACCAACACAATAATCTTGATTTAAATGAGTATATTCTCAGTCATGTGGTCAAAAACTGGGAAAACGACCCAATAATCCCAGTTTATATGAATATATCCTCAGTTACATGGGTAAAGACGGGTAAGTTACCCCGATAGTCCATATTTAAATGTTTATAACCAACAAATACGGCAGAATATCAGTTTCCTGACATTAAAAATGAATTTGGCATTTAGGTATCTGGGTCACCTTTGGTCGATGGAGTCCACCTTCTCCTGGATGCGCTCGGCGTTGATGTTGCCGTCGGCCACCAGGCGGCGCCCGGTGTCGACCACGCCGCTGATCTTCTCCTCATTGGCGTCCATTGTGGTCATGAAGTCCTCCTGCTTCTTGATGGCGGCCTCGGCGCCCTCCAGAGTGGTGGGCATCTCGGTGTGGGCCAGGACGTACTCCTGGACCACAAACACAGAGTGATGTTACTGGCTGTTGGGTGTAATGACACAGTTTGACCACTGGGGGCTCTGGTTACAAAGGTTCAGCGTAAAAAAGTGGATTTTTAAACTAGTCTTTAACATGTTTGTTGTTTTTTAGGTGTATGTGTGGCTTTAATATAATCAGAGACACTGTTCTAAGCTACACATGTCAAAACTTTAGCTGAATCTGTAGCTTTATTGATAGCTTTAGCTGGTTTTGGCTCATAGTTTTGGTTCAATTTATCCACAGCAGGCAGCTATTTAGAGAGAAAACATTCTATAAAGTTAATATACGTGACTTTCTCAGCAGAAAATCACATTCTGTGTTTGCATTTAGCAGCTAAAGAGCCACATGTTTCCCTCAGGAGGTGGATGAGACCAAAAATGGAGCTAAAAGGGAGCTAATAACATGTTGCTGTGCTAATGTTAATGTTGGAGGTGAAAATAAGCAAACTGTTCCCAACGAGATCAACGTGTCGAGTTAAAAGTTCCTGACATGTCAGTGCCAGTCAACAGAACTAGTCTGTGTTTTCTAAAAGTGGACAGAAATGTGTAACTGTGGGTTTAAATCAGTAAATCACATCCTTCAGGGAAATAAAACAATAAAGCAAAGTGAAAAGATCCATCACAAGTGGAAACCCTGCAATAAAGATCCTAATTGAGATAAAGCCCCTAAGAGGAAAATGCAGTTAAAGAATTACAGACTTAAATAACATGATATAAGCCGTCATTTATATCCAGAGACAGCAGGTTGATCTGAGGGCTCCAGACATGATTAACTAGAGAGGAAAAAGAAAAAAAACACAAATCTGCCTTCAGTTGTTCTGTCATCTTTAGGTTTTGCTAAAATATCAGATCATTTTATTACAATTAAACTATGTGAGAAGTTTCTGCCGCTGTCTGGTGGAGCTGTGGACTCAGAGATGCTGCTTTAATCCTAATCTATGCATCATAGTTTTTACATTTGCCATATTATACATCCGAGCACAGCATTTGAGTCGTTCGGTTTCTTTCCTCTGCTGTTTAAAGTCATTTCTAACGGGTGTAATGAAGCCCGTCGACCACCTGAGGGCAGCCTCTGACCTCCTCAGACCTTCACCCACAGTGGACTTTTAATCTGACGGGTTCAGACCGAGCAGAGCCTCCAGTTCTCATCATCTGAACCCTGTTTGTCTCAGCGGGTCACGAGGCAGGACGTCCTTACAGGCAGGAAGGAGAAACATCCATCACATGATAATCATCTGTGAAGCTCTTCTGTTCGAGCTCTCAGACGTGATCACATCCGTCCTGCTCTCGCTACAAGAGCCGTGGTTGTGTTCGTTAAAGCCCTCCGGCGTCAGGGTTCTGAACGGACAGATGTCATGGACCAGCTTCTCCTCCACATCAGGAGCTCAACTTCTGCACATTTACAGCCTCATAGTCGTATTTCTGGGGTTCAATAGTCAATGTTCACACGCTTTAATCACTTTACTTTCCTCACACTGCATCTCTTGAAACTCTACGTGTCTCTTTAAGGCCTCGCTTCTGACAATCTTTGCTCTGATTGGTCGATTCACCCGATGACAGTCAGGTGATGTCGGCTGGTAACCCCACATGTCAGAGCTACTGTAGTGAGGACATAATGTTGGACTGTGAGGCAGCTGCTCAGTCTGACCAACGTCTAACCAGCTGTTATGGAAACGTGCTACGTGATGATGTCGATAAGTGACGCCTGGACTTCACACGAGGTGTTTCAGGCAGGTATGGAACCATGGTTTCTGTACGTGAGAATTACTTCCTGTGGTTTGTAAGTTTGCAAACCTTTAACACAAAAAGCTGCCACATAACACAGAACATGGGCTCTGTAAGTGAAGCCCAGGTGTGTCTACCTGGTTGTTGAGGAAGGCCTCGGCCTGCTTGGTGTCCCTCAGGAACAGCTGGTAAGCGTGGGACTGCGACAGCAGGTTCTGCCGGTTCTCCCACATCTTGTGCAGCTCGTTCCAGCCGGTGTCGAGCGCCTGCAGCCGCTGCCGAAGGAACATGTACTGGGCGTCCGTCTGGCCCTGCGTCACCATCTCGCCCATGTCCCGCATCTTCTGGTAGTCCTCCTCGTAGTTGCGGATCTCGTTCTTGATGCCCTCGTGCTGGGCCAGCAGCTTCTCGGCCTCGGCCAGCGTGTTGGGCATGTCCTCGGAGGCGATGGCCGTCTGCGTCCGCGACAGCCACGACTGGAAGTCGTCCAGCTCACGCAGGAACTGCTGCAGCTTGCTGGCTTCGCCCAGAGACTCCTCGCGGTTCTTCATGGTGTCCTGTGAACAGAACCGAGGGGATGATGAGCGATGTCTAGACCTGGATATGGGCTGAAGACATCTAAAACCATCAGCAGGCTTCTGTTGGACCATCTCTGGTTTACTGAAACATCCTAAACTATGAATATTTAAAATGCTATCTGTGAAGTTTTAGGTCATTTTATCAAATAATAATAATTATTATTATATCAAACAGATTCTGGGTTAACTTCTTTAAATCAGCGCCTGTCAGCCCCCCTACAGCTGAAGTTTGAGTCTGTTTTGTTGTTCAGTTCACATCTTCTCTGGAGACCTCCTCCTCCTCATATCTGACTTTAAAGCTCAGGTACCTTCATCTCGTCCCAGACGCCGGTGATCTCCGCCAGACGTCCTTTGATGGCCTCGGACTGCTCCGGGTGCTCGGAGGCCAGCCGGTCCGCCTCCTTCCCCAGGTCGCCCAGCTTGTCCTCGATGGCGGCCAGGTCGCGCTCCATCCCCGTCAGCTTCCTCTGCAGGGCCATGACGCCGGCCAGGTCGTTGCCCAGCTCCTGGGTCGACTCGATCACCTGGAGGAGGACGGAGAGGAGTCATCGAGAAGAGTCCCAAACATTTATCAAACAAACCAAGTAGTGGATATAACCAGTGTTCTTCGTCTGTAATTAGTTGTTTTTTAATTTATCCGTCCTCTGCCAGTACCTTGGTCTTCTCCTTGATCCAGGACTTGGTTTCGTTGCACTCCAGGTGGTAGTTCTGGACCCCCAGAGCCGAGCTCAGGCTGTCCTTCTTCTGGTCGACCAGGTCTCTGAACTGACTCCACCTGGACAGAAGGACACCTTCAGCACCTCCTCATACGTCTCCAGTCCTGTTTACATCTCACCTGAAGCACCTGCTCAGGGTTTAGCTTCACCTTCATCAGCCGGATCACTTCTCTAGTTCTGGTGTCTTTACTCACACATTCAGACACGTTTATGTCTTCAGCCGAGGTTTATGTAGGATTTATTTAATCTCAGTGGTTAACATGAGTTAGATGCAGTTTATTTACCCTCGTTATCGGTTTAATTACTCACGATAATCACAGTTCAATACAAGCTTAAACGTCTGTTTAAAATTCACTTTGACTTGTTTGTCCCCGTTTCGTTGCTCGATTAACTCCTTGATTGATTCTCCTTTCAGTCCTGGTTCGATTAGCTGCTAAATCCTAATTAATTAGCTGACGAATTACCGTTAAATTATCAGCTTAGTCACAGTTTCATGGGCTGATAAATTATGTGTTGAATCAAGTTTAACTTCTTCCAGTTTTGGTGTATATCCATCAGGTCTAAATACACATCAGACACAGTATGTTTGGTTTAATCTCAGTTCTTAAGAGTATAATCTGAGTTTTGTGGTTAAACACTTGGTAAACAACCTGATAATCCCAGTTTCTAAGAGTATAATCTGAGTTATCTGGCTAAAGACTGTGTAAACTACCCAATAATCCCAGTCTGTATGAGTATAATCTCAGTTAAGTGGGTAAAGACTGGGTAAATGAACCAATTATCTCTGTTTCTAAAAGTATAATCTCAGTTATGTGGGTACAGACCGGGTAAACACCTCAGTAATCCCAGTTAATATCAGCATAACCTCAGTGACCTGGTTAAAGATGGGTAACCAACACAATAATCTTGATTTAAATGGATATATTCTCAGTTATGTGGTCAAAGACTGGGAAAAAGACTTGATAATCCCAGTTTATAAAGGTGTAATCTCAGCTGCCAGGCTAAAGACTGGAAAAATGATCCAACTGATGATCCAATTTCAACAATTTCCTGAGGTTTACACCGAAGGGATCAATAAAGTTTTCTTCTATTCTATTTTTATTCTATTCTATTCTAGTATTTCCAGTTTATACTCGTATAATTTCAATTACCTGGTTTAAGACTGGGTGTATGACACAATAATCCCATTTTATATGACTATAAACTCAGTTATGTGGTTGAAGACCAAGCAAATGACCAGATAATTACAGTTTATATGAATGTAACCTCAGTTATCAGGCTCAAGACTCTGAAAATGGCCCAATAATTCCAATTTATATGAGTATTACCTCAGTTATATGGTTTGAAACTGGATAAACGACCTTATAATCCCAGTTTATGATAGCATAGTCTCAGTTACTTGGTTAAAACCTGAGTAAATGGCCCAATAGTCCCAGTTTATACAGTTTTAATCTCAGTTGCCAGGCTAAAGACTGGAAAAATGACCCAATATTTCCAGTTTATACTCGTATAATTTCAATTACCTGGTTTAAGGCTGGGTGTGTGACCCAATAATCCCATTTTATATGACTATAAACTCAGTTATGTGGTTTAAGACCAAGTAAATGACCAGATAATTACAGTTTATATGAATGTAACCTCAGTTATCAGGCTCAAGACTCTGAAAATGGCCCAATAATTCCAATTTATATGAGTATTACCTCAGTTATATGGTTTGAAACTGGATAAACGACCTTATAATCCCAGTTTATGATAGCATAGTCTCAGTTACTTGGTTAAAACCTGAGTAAATGACTCAATAGTCCCAGTTTATACAGTTTTAATCTCAGTTGCCAGGCTAAAGACTGGAAAAATGACCCAATATTTCCAGTTTATACTCGTATAATTTCAATTACCTGGTTTAAGGCTGGGTGTGTGACCCAATAATCCCATTTTATATGACTATAAACTCAGTTATGTGGTTGAAGACCAAGTAAATGACCAGATAATTACAGTTTATATGAATGTAACCTCAGTTATCAGGCTCAAGACTCTGAAAATGGCCCAATAATTCCAGTTTATATGAGCATCACCTCAGTTATATGGTTTGAAACTGGATAAATAACCCGATAATCCCAGTTTCTGAGCTGGTTTAATCCCAGGTGCGTTACCTGGTGTTGAGCTTGTCCTGCTGGGCCTTGATCTCCTTCTCACTGGGATGTCCGCTGTGGATCAGTTGTCTGGCGACCTGGTTCACCACGGCAACGCGGGACGCCTGGTTGTTCATCTCCGGCTCCAGACTCTCAAACCTGGACGGATAAGATTTGACATTTAATTCAGGATGTTGTGTTCTTTATGAGGCGTGTGACCTGGCTGGTGGCAGGTTGGTGCACAGCTGTATGAAGGTGGAGCGTTTCAGACATGTTGGAGCACCAGGTCCAGGCCTTCACTGAGCCGGTGAACACACCAGGTCCAGGCCTTCACTGAGCCGGTAAACACACCAGGTCCAGGCCTTCAC